TGCAGCTCTTATCCTGAGTTTACCAGAACTCTTCAGGTTCACCCAGGTGTGTTTTTTTTTTCTTTTTCTTACCAGCAGGCAGATGTCAGTTCACACCAAATGAAGTTGTCTCTGTTTTGATAACTGAGATGTTTGAGCTGTGAAATCTGCAGCTCACACATAAGGGCCAAAGCTGCTATAGGATCATAAAAGATGGCAAATTTAAATATGTGCAAACAGTGAGGTGCAGTTTGGGGTTCAACATTTGTCCTTTTTCTGGTTCTGGAAATTGTCCTTCAGTTGCAAAATTACTAAATGGGCTTCATTTTAATTTTATTTTATTTTATTGTGCATTGGTGATCTTAAAAGAGTGTAAGCTGCAGCTGTAGTGAAATATAGAATAGGTGCTGCAGGAAGCTGTGAGATCTGTACCCCTCTGACCTACAGGTTTTACAGATTTCTACATTATACAGAGGCAAAGTCGGAACATCGGAACGAGCAGTTTCACTTCCGATGAAGACAAGGTTTGTATGGAGCATGTTGTGCAGTTAAATACTCCAAGTTTGGTTTCTTCAGTCCTGATGACTGCAGCAGGAAAAGTGAAAATGCCATCCCAGGAGACAAAAGAAACTAATCTGTCCAGCTGGAGGAAAGACACTGAGAAAAATGTCACAGAGCTGATCAGGAGGGGGCAACCAAGAGTCACCTGTTCACTGTGTTTGTGTGTGTGTGTGTGTGTGTGTGTGTGTGTGTGTGTGTGTGTGTGTGTGTGTGTGTGTGTGTGTGTGTGTGTGTGTGTGTGTGTGTGTGTGTGTGTGTGTGTGTGTGTGTGTGTGTGTGTGTGTGTGTGTGCGTGCGTGTGTGTGGATGATGAAAAGCAAGGAGTGTGACTAATACAGTTGAGGTTGGGATTAACTTTTCCCCCCTGAATATCATTCTCTTTAAACCCCCTGACACAATACACTCTCTAACACACACACACACACACACACACACACACACACACACACACACACACACACACACACACACAGAGTGAGAGAAGCTGACTTCTAAAATAGCAAATGTTTACTGAGATGAAAGGTTTGGCTTATTTTCTCCCCCCTAAGAGGATCCGAGCTAGAATGAGTGACTGCCAACACTTTCTCTGTGTGAACAGCGTGTGCAGAAATGTGTGTGAATGAAAATCTGCCGTCTTTGTACCTTCGCACTTCCTTGGCACGTCTTCAGACGCCCGGGTGTAATCTAGGTCTGTTTTATTGGCATAACAAAGAGGCGTGTGCTCTGATAACATGCATTCTTCTTTAAAGCTGACTCTTTTTGCCCGTTAATGAACTGAACTTCAGAGATGATAAGTTTCATGAAGGTTTGTCACCCTTTCCTTCCTCGCTCCTCCTTCTCGCTCTCTCTCTCTCTCTCTGGGTTTATCCTCATCCCCAAAACCTAAATCCTCCTCCATCTTTATATTTTTTCTTGAGTATTAAGGACACCTTCAGACAGAATAATTTGTTCCTTGATATTGGCAGTTTATCCCATGAATAATTTCCTGTAAATATCAAGAGTTTGATGGAAACCAGATCCTTCTGGACGTGGATTCTCATAGGATGGATTTGAATAGTGTGCTCTTTGTAGATTGACGTTCACGTGTTTGAAATCTTAACGCACGTCTTCATACAGCAGCCCGCCCCGGGTCATCAGGTATGGCCATCAGACATTAGGGGAATACTCTCTGAGAAATCACTGCAGGCTGCTGTGTTACATGTGTGTTGCATCACCTCTGATTGAAGTGTTAAAATGAAAAGGAAATACTGGTGGGCCTCCACAAAGATTCATGCTAAGACAGATTGAGAAACAATGGTGTATTATTGACTCATAAATAAAACTGTAGTGTGTGAGTGCTCTATAAGCTCTGCCTCTTTCTTTAATAATTTCAGCTTTAATTCATTGCTCTTGGCTTCGCTACCTAACACTGATGGATGTTATGGATGTTTTCCTGGATGGTTCTTTACCCTGATGGAAACCAATGCTGTGAATGCTTTTGTGAGGCTGTTTTATTCCCTCCTACGTTGACCTCTGCCTCTCTCTTCACTGCAGTCCTCTTTCTCATCGCTTACCCCCATTCACACCTGATATTACCTGATCTCTATCTACATGTTTTATCTGAAAAAAAAAGTGGAAAATAAAGGAGGAGAAATCCCCCATAGCCTTTTTTCCTTTCAAGAAGAAGTGAAACTCTGGGAGTGGTCATGTTTTCCTTATCGGGAGACAGGAGCTTATAGATACCATGTTTGAAGTAAATGCTAAGGGTCCTGATAATTAAATAAATATACATGTACATAAATAAGTAAATAGATGAATAAGTAGTAAGTATATGAATCAATATCAATACAAAATAGTCAAGTAAATAAGTCAGTGAAAAGAAAGTAAATATATAAGCAAACAAAATAATTAAATAATAAACAAACAGTTATTCAATGAGTGCATAAACAAATAAGTTGGTGAATAGATAAATATGTGAAGTTAATAAGTCAATAAGTTAGTAAATATATAACCACAGTAAATTAATTTCTAAATCAACAAATTTTGTATTTGTATTTGTATTTGTTTATTTAGCACAGATTAAAAAAACAGTGCAAGGAGGGAACGAAGCCGATAGGCTTATACAGAGTTCCACTCCCGTCAGGTCAGAGAAAACATAAGGTGCAGACAACTAAGTACACAGACTGGAACACAGACAAATCAGCAAACAGTGATAAAGAAAATAAAGTATTTATAAAAAGGAAAGAGATATGATCATAACAGATAATGATGTATTTAAGACATGATCAGATGAGATTTTAAAGATATTTTAAAGGAGTTAAAGGATGATATTGATTTTAGAGATGCATCAAGATTATTCCACAGTTTCGGACCTCTAAAAGTGATGTTAGACTGATGACTAGAAGTTCTACAGGAAGGTAACTGAAGATGGCCATTTTGTTGTGTTGAGTACGAATGAAGGTCGGATGAAAAGGTAAAAAAGTTTCGGAAAGTTTCAGGAAGGGCTTGTTTGTTATTGATGAATTTGTGGACATATAAACAAGAGTGAAGGACATTGAGTTTGTCAATTGGTAAGATGGAGTATTTAGAAAAGAGAGGAGCAGAAGGTTCGTGTTTGCTGGATCGTGATATCATTCTTATGAATCTTTTCTGGATTATTAATATTTTCTTGAGGTAAGTTGGATACGTTGCACACCATACAATGTTGCAATAGTTCATGTACGGAAATAGAAAGCTGTAGTACAAAGACAAATGAGCAGAGGGATTGATCAGGGGACAGACCTTACTAATTATACCGAGGCTCTTCATTGACCTTTTGCATACTCGGCTGATATGAATGTTCCACTTTAGACCCTCATCGACGACAACACCCAAAAAAGTGGTGTGGGGTACTTGAGGGATTCCAGTACCATTAATTGATATTTTGGCTTTTTCTTTTGGATAAGATTTGTTTTTGTTGCTGAAGATCATGAAATTACAATTTTTTTATATTAAGAGTTAGCTTATTAGTCAGGAACCAGTTAGCAACAGAGGACAATTCATCATTCACACGGGCAATGAGAGTCTCAAAGTCAGCATGGACATCTATGAAACAGGTGTCATCAGCAAATAACAAGGGGAGAAGGTTATTACAGGACATAGGTAAGTCATTGATATAAATTAAGAATAACAGAGGACCGAGGATTGATCCCTGAAGGACCCCAAAGAGAATACTGGATTTAGTGGATGAAGCACCATTTAGATGAACAAACTGTTCTCTATTATCTAGATAACTGATCAGCCAGTTGAGGGCAATATTCTGGATTCCATATCTGTTAAGCTTTGAAATGAGGATTTTGTGATCGACAGTGTCAAAAGCTTTGCTTAAATCAAGAAAGACACCAAGGGCAATTTTTTTCCCATCTAGAGCAGAGGAAACAGTATTAACAAGTTGCAGCAATGCATGCTCAGTTGAGTGTTTTTTGCGGAACCCGTATTGGTGATTATACAAAACATTATTAACCGTCAAGTGGTCGGAGATTCTCGCATAGACTAGTTTTTCCAAGATTTTGGAAAAACAGGGTAGAACAGATATTGGGCGATAGTTGCCAAAATCTCTTGTATTGCCTGATTTAAATATTGGAGTAACTTTGGCAATTTTTAGATCTCGAGGGACAATACCAGACAGAAGGGATAAAGAGAGAATGTGGGTTAAAGGGTGAATGATTTAATCTATAGATTCTTTGACAAGACTGCTTTTAATACCATCGTGACCCTGAGCAGAGTCCTTTAAATTCCTAACAATGTCATGGACCTCTTCTAAACTGGGAGGATCAAAACTAGAGAGTGTTGAAAATGTGCCTTTCATGAAACTTGTGGGATTTACATCTGAGTCTTTCATGCTAGAAGCCAAGGAAGTACTGACGTTTATAAAGAAATCATTAAAACTCTCTGCTATGTCACTCTGGTCATGTAGAGGCCCATCCTTTCCCATCATTTCAACAGCTACAGTAGCAGTAGTTTTTTTTTGATTAAGTAATTGGTTGATGAGATTCCAGGTTGCTTTAATGTTATTGGCAGCTTGGGTAAACTTATCAGCATAATATGTTTTTTTAACCTTCCTTAAGGATGCAGTAAATTTATTTTTATATTTTTTATATTTTACAATATTTTCAGGAGTAGGATTGTTAATAGCTTTCCGATATAGTTTTTTTTTTTTTTACGAGAGTACTTTTTTAGTTCACCCGTCATCCAGGGTTTTCCTTTGGATGAGTTACTCTTCATAGCGGTGACTAGCGGAAAGCTAGCTTCGAGAATTGATTCAAATGTAGTTAAAAATAGCTGGTAAGCTTCATTAACATCTGATGAGTTGAGGACCTCATTCCAGGACACTGTACGGATGGAAGATTTAAAGGATTCCATGTTCTTTTTATTGTAGATGCGAGATTTGCTTTGCAGGTAGTCAGAGTTTTTGCGTTTATAATTTCCTTTAGTATGTATGATTTGGAATACGGGGAGGTGGTCGGAGATGTCAGATATTAACAACCCAGAGGTGATTTCATAGTCAAGTGAATTGATTATGATATTGTCAATGAGAGAAGCTGATGATTTGGTGATTCTGGATGGTTTGAGAATTAGTGGAAAGAAGTAGGTTGAGTAAAGATTGTTCAGAAAGTCAACGGTAGAGGGTAATTCACTCTTAAGCAGGTCGATATTGAAATCACCCATAAGAACACACAGTTTATGCTCCTTGGTTATAAACTCAAGGGAGGAGTAAAGAGCCTCATTGAATGAAATTGGGTCAGTGTCAGGAGGTCTGTAGACACACCCAATTATAATATTTTTCCCATGAAGGGGACGACAAGAAGAGATTTCGATAAATACAGATTCCACTCGTATGTTTTCTAGAGGTTCTGAGATTTCTTTTCTAGTGGTAAAGTTGTAGTCTTTGAGCACATATAGGGAAACTCCTCCTCCGACCTTATTTCTTCTGCATGAATGAATAGCATTATACTGAGATATAGCGTAAAGATCTGTGATATCATCCTTTAGCCAGGTTTCTGAGAGTGCCATTACTGAGAAAGAAAAAGTTAGGGTTGATAAGTATATTTTTAGGTTGTCAAAATTTTTTGGTAAACTGCGAACATTTAATTGCCACGCTGAAAAGTCTTTAGGATATAAGAGTCATCAGGAGCAAGAGTACGGGACAGATCATTGAACTGATCTTCAGAATAGTATTTACATGATCGAATTACATTGTTTGAGTTTGAGAGATTTATATCTGGGTTGAAAAATTCATCGTAGATACCTCTGTTATCTGAGTTTAGGTCAAATGGATTAAAGGCTAGAGGATCCGTATCATGGGGGGTAGACACCCCATCAGCATAAAGATGGTTGGACATAATGCACAATTTGTAAGATTATGCAAAGAAGAACACAGTCATAGATCATCATTCAGGTAGTATGGCGCGGTTACAGGTAGACATCTAGTTCAGTCAGATCTCTAATGATTTTGACCTTAGCTTCTTCTGGTGAGCCGTTGAGCTTTATGAAAATCTTGCAGCTGGAGGTCCAGGTTGACTGGATTTTTCCCTGTTTACGAAGGAACCGTGCTTTCTTTGCAATGTCAGCATTTCTTTTGGTCAGGTGTTCATTTACATATACATTTGTTCCTCTTAATTGTTTCCATTGCTTTAGTAGCCATATCTTATGGTTTCTGTTGGTGAATCTGAGGATAATAGCTGGAGGTTGGGTGGTATTTCTTTGTGGAAGAGGATGACATGCTTCTATAAAACTGCGGTCCATAGTAATCTTTCTGGTTTCCAGAAAGGAAACTACCTGCTCTTCTACTGTTGCCTGATCTTCTTCTGACATGTTTTCCTCTGTCACCTTCCCCACAGATTTGGCATAAGATATGGGTTTAGTCTTTAGACCTGAGATCACAACATCATTGATCCTCGAATACTGTTCGTAAGTAAATGGATCAATAAGTCAAAAGTGAGCTAAGAAATTCATATTAACTGTAAATACAAGATGAGCGAGATAAAAAATACAGAAAACCGTAAATAAACAAGATAATAAACATGTCAGTGAATAAGTAAGCCAACAAAAAAAAAGTTAATAATAAATCAGCCAGTTGTTGAAGAAGTTAGTAAATAAAGAAGTAAAAGAGTCAAGAAGTCAATGAATAAATTGGTAAATACATAAATAAGTCAATGAATTATAAGAAAAAATAGTTTGATTAATAAGTGTGTAAAAGGATAAAGAATGAGTAAATAAATATGTAAATATATAAAGAAACTAACCAACAAGCCCTGAGCCTATTTTAGGGAAAAAAACGCCTAAAAGACATACCCAAAGTAAATGAGGAATTACTACACTTTACTAAAGGTTATATGCATGTTCTTGGTGTCCTTGGACATCTAGAGACTTCAGAGAATGTGTTTCAAGTGTCAGAAGTGTTGTATCTGTCATTATGCCTGAGTAAAGTGGAATAAATCAGAGGAAAAGTTCGTTTTTTTACCCTCGCCAAAATGTTTTCTTTTTTTGACAGAGGAAAACACAATGCTGGCAATGATTTTAGGCCCCCAGATGCCATTGACTAGCTTCACCCACTCCTTGACCACAAATGTACCAAGTTTGATAGCATTTGGGCAAACAGTAAAGCCTACATGAAGGTTTTTGTAAGGATACACCCTGGCGAGGACTCAGTTTGGCACACTTTGTGCCAAATTGTGCCAAATGGTTTATTTTCTACCTCTGATGAAAACTGGCTTCAAATTATAATTAATTTTTATTAGACTAGTCTCCTACTAACTATTGGAGCTTTTGGATATGAAATTTATCTTGTGACTCATCGATTTCTATCATTGTGCACCATATATATGTTCATATGCGATAAAGAATAATGAAAAATAACAGGAAATTCTACTTTTTTGGGCTCCACATGGAGTATTTTTATTCAAAGAAAAGTGCAAACAAACAACCACTCAGTGCAACCTTTGTTGCAGGTCAGGGTGGGGGTTGGGCGACTGGTGCAGGGAGTACAGTAGGTGTGAAAACCCCTGATGGGGGGTGGATGTGCCTCACTCCCCTCTTCTTAGTGGCTGTGAAAATGAAGATAAATTACTATGTAGAACACAAAATAAATAATAACATCTGAACATTTCCCTGAAGGACACAAAGGTTGTGGATATATGTAAACTTATTCAATAATTTGAGTAACCATGACCTGTACTATATTTTGTTTGCATTTGTATTTACTTCATGTTTTTGTTTTCATAAATAATATATTCAAAGACAGATAAAATGCAACGTCTGCAAGCAAAGTAAGCCCAAAACGAACAAATATAGTGGAACTGCAGTAATATTCAATGCTATTGGATTGCCATACTTACTACTGTGTTTACAGTTTCATGACAAAGGTGTTATGCATATCATGCATATCAGTCTACACAACACTGAGCCTTATAAATAAATGCAAATACTTACTAGTAAACGAGGTCCACTTCTAATGTAAACAATGCCTCCTCCTCGGAGACGACGTCGTTTCTGCTAAGTCAGAGGAGTCCTCAAATTCACCGTCTGAGCCCTGCTGAATTTCTCATAAAATGTCCGCCACATCCCTCTAAGAGTTGAATGTTTCTTCTCCATTGTTGAAAAGTACTCAAAAGAAGTTTTATAAGTGGTGGAGAAAGTTTACAGGAGAGTCCCGAGTGATCAGCGTGCGATGCAGCAGTCTGCCTTTGTCTGTGGGGCGCTGCACCTAAGAGCGCACAGATTACGAGCACTTTACGCCTGGCTTTTTCCAAAACTGGGAAATGTAGTTCTTAGAAAGGTTGATGTCAATCGATTCAGTAGCTTCTCCCCTTTCGAATGACTACAAGCATGGCCGTACGGAGCAATTCTCCGCTACACTGTAAAGCTTTGATTCGGTGGCTGTCCCAAAATTTAAAGGTCCAAATTTCGCTACAAGGCAGATTAAAATCGACATAAAAAAGGTAAACGTTTGCACTAAAACAGACATCCGACCCAGTTTTGTGAACATTAGAGTCCAAACTTTGATCGAGAAGTGAAAGTAAACACCGCGGTCAAGATTTAATACATTTTTTATAGTGCTGAATTACATGCAGCAAAATCTCGGCCCTTGCAAGGGACCATCGGGCTATAAGAGTTAAACAATATTATAGTTTTATTCCAACAGGTCAGTTACATGGGTTTAAGAAGAGGCTAAAGTACAAGACTGTGGGAGAGACTATGTGAGCTTACCATTCAACTATTTAAATGTTCCTCGGTGTGTAATAATTGGTTAGTTACATCATTTCTGTACATCATACAATCATTAAATATCTGCAGAGACCCAAAAACGGTACTAAGTGGTCGTGACCTTCAGGCTCTTAGCTGCACCGCCTTAATATCAAATGAGACTCTGAAGTGGAAATCACGGCATGGCCACAAAGATAATGCAGCTGTAACACATTAGCAAACAGCTGTGGCTGAAAACGTATGTAAATCCATGTATTCAGTTCAGACTGTGTTTAAACTGTGTGAAAATTCCCATGTAGTGTTGCATTCTCGGATAATTCCTGCTGAATGGTTCCTTACAGATATTGACTTTATGACCTTGAGCATTATACAGAGCATGTGTTACCTTATAACTCTTTTATTATTATTTTTTTTTTTTGAGGCTTCAGCTTTCATAAGATTTGTACTTCATCAATCTAGTGTACTACTTTTGCTGGGAATATTACGCGTCATAGGATGAATTATATAATTTCAGTAAAATGAGCAGCTAATCAGATATCCATTCTCCTTATTTGGTTGATAATGAGTCTTTGGTACGAACCTATTTGCTTCTTTTCTTTTAAAATGCACCAAAACAAATGGGTCTTATCTGTTTGGCAAAGTGGGACATTAGCAAACACGGGCAGTCTGTGGTAATTGGGTCCAATACATCACACTCAGAGAGGAATGGATGGCTTGTTGAGGGAAACACACCTATCTCACCCCTTCAGCAGACCTACAGTAATGAGTCTGCTTTAATTTTTTATTACACCGCTGCTCTCTCTCCTCACCTCTGTCCTGTTCATTGCTGAGACAAAGGGGACGCCAGGGAGGGAGAGACAGGTGAGGGGGTGAAATAAAAAGATGTAAAGGGAGGCTGGTGAAAGAGAGGGGAGGAGGGGATGAGATATTCTGGCGGCTCCCTAAACGTGAATGTAAGAACATAAGGACATGCCCTCAGTGTTGACTTTATCTTTGAAGTATGAGGATTTGTCAGATTGATCTACAGCTGCACACAATAATGAAAAGGTTAGTCATGGAGTTCCCCAGGGCTCAATGCCTATGCCAGTTTTTTTCCATTTATACATGTTTTCTTAAAGGTAATATCATGTGTACACCTTCACTGTTTTTTATTGTTTCTCTGAATTAAGAATTTGGGGTGATAAAAGGTTTATTTAAAGTCCATTCAGATTTTATCTGACTGTACTGACGTTAAGTTAGACTGAGTTTCTCTTCAGGGTGTCTTGTCCTTTATTGCTGACCTATAAGACCATTTTTCTGCATACTTTGCATTTATCAGACAGACGAAAACTCACAGAAAATGTGCAGCTGCTGCAGTTTTGCCATTAACCACTGACCCTGCATCTCACCTTGAATGTGAGCTGATCTTGGGTTATTGTGCTCACATCTTATCTCTTTTTGTCAGAAATAAGTAACAACAGTTAGTTAAACTTCTTTATGTCATGTAGTCCCGTTTGTGATAATGTCATTTATCTAACAGTCAGCCAGCCAAAGCAACAGCAGTGCCCCAGACAGACACACTGAGCTTTCTGCCAGACAAAGAGCTTATTTCAGTGCCAAGTTGCTGCTCACACACTGGGCGAGGTGTCAAATGAGCCACTCTCAACTCTTAAGGGCAGATTTTCAGTAAGGGAAAAGGATTGAATGCACAGTCATAACTAGGCTGCGGCAGAGACTAAGTGAAAGCAGGTACGAAGTACTCTAATACTCTAAGTAGACTGTGTGGGGCCCTAAATCATACTGTGGGCAGGTTATTTGACACAAAAGGTCAGTTTGTCAGTGAATAGTAGGTGCAGAAACAGTCACAGTCATAAAAAGGCTGAATATGGTATGGTTATGATTTAATGTAATGATTTATGATTAATGATTCATCTCTTGATTCTTAAATGTTTATTTTAAACTTACATGTTAAACTTAAGACTTAGCTTCTTGCAGAAGCTTGACTCATAAACACAGGAGGACTGGTGTTTTTTTTAGGGCCCGAGCGTAGCTGCTAAGCAGCTGCGAGAGCCCTGTTGTTCCTCTAGTGGTTTTTCTTTGTTAGGGCCCGAGCCAGCTGCAGAGCAGCCGGGCGTAGGCCCTGTTGTTCCTCAAGTGGTTTTTTAGGGCCCGATGATGGATTCTTCTTTTGTTATTATTATTAGGGCCCGAGCGTAGCTGCTAAGCAGCTGCGAGAGCCCTATTGTTCCTGATGGATTCTTCTTTTGTTATTATTATTATTAGGGCCCGAGCCAGCTGCAGAGCAGCCGGGCGTAGAGCCCTATTATTCCTGTATAGGTTTTTCTTTCTTCTTTAGGGCCCGAGCGTAGCTGCTAAGCAGCTGCGAGAGCCCTCTTGTTCCTGCATGTTTCCTTCTTTCGTTATTAGGGCCCGAGCCAGCTGCAGAGCAGCCGGGCGTAGGCCCTATTATTCCCCAAGTGGTTTTTCTTTGTTTCTTTCTTTCTTTCTTTAGGGCCCGAGCGTAGCTGCTAAGCAGCTGCGAGAGCCCTCTTGTTCCTGCATGTTTCCTTCTTTTGTTATTAGGGCCCGAGCGTAGCTGCTAAGCAGCTGCGAGAGCCCTATTATTCCCCAAGTGGTTTTTCTTTGTTTCTTTCTTTCTTTCTTTCTTTCTTTCTTTCTTAGGGCCCGAGCCAGCTGCAGAGCAGCCGGGCGTAGGCCCTATTATTCCCCAAGTGGTTTTTCTTTGTTTCTTTCTTTCTTTCTTTCTTTCTTTAGGGCCCGAGCGTAGCTGCTAAGCAGCTGCGAGAGCCCTCTTGTTCCTGCATGTTTCCTTCTTTTGTTATTAGGGCCCGAGCGTAGCTGCTAAGCAGCTGCGAGAGCCCTCTTGTTCCTGTAGTTTCCTTCTTTTGTTATTATTATTATTATTATTTTTCCTCCCCTTTGAACTGGAAAATGGCCCACTTCCCACTGGCGAAAACTCATGAAATTTGGCAGGACGACCGGGCCTGGTGAAAAATTTGATATTCCGAAGTCGCCCAAACAAGAAAATGCAAAATGGCTCCATAGCGCCCCCTAAGGTGAAAATTCACACTATTCACTGTCACGCCGGTACGCTTTGTCAAAATGACACAAAAATTGACACACACATGTATCTCAATAAGATCTACAAAAAAGTCAGTGCGGGCGTATCTGTCAAATGTACGGTTAAAGGGTTATTTCGCATTTTTTGCCGATCCGCACACATTGGAATTTCGCTAACTCCTCCGAAGGCTTTCGTTCCACCGGCACCACATTTGCTCAGGCCAATCTACACCCCATGGCCATTAAAAGTTATTCAAATCATGACGCTGCACCCCACGGTTTAGGTTCTAGGGGGCGCCAAAGATAACCCTAAGATCCACATATTTAAAAGTCTTATAACTTTTTATTTTTGCCCTCACTGGCCTCCAAGTTTTCTAGGATGATGCAATGTCCAGCCATCAACACATTTGTGAAGGAATTTTTACTCCCCAAAAGAGCGCCCCCCCATGGCAGGAGAAAAAAGTCCATTTTTTCTTGTCCCCTAAGGTGAAAATACACATTGTTGAGTGTAACACCTGTACGCTTTGGCAAAATGACACAAAAATTGACACACACATGTATCTCAATAAGATCTACAAAAAGTCAATGCGCGCGTATCTGTCAAATGTACGGTTAAAGGGTTATTCCGCATTTTTTGCCGATCCGCACACATTGGAATTTCGCTAACTCCTCCGAAGGCTTTCGTTCCACCGGCACCACATTTGCTCAGGCCAATCTACACCCCATGGCCATTAAAAGTTATTCAAATCATGACGCTGCACCCCACGGTTTAGGTTCTAGGGGGCGCCAAAGATAACTGTAAAATCCACATATTTAAAAGTCTTATAACTTTTTATTTTTGTCCCCACTGGCCTCCAAGTTTTCTAGGATGATGCAATGTCCAGCCATCAACACATTTGTGAAGGAATTTTTACTCGCCAAAAGAGCGCCCCCCCATGGCAGGAGAAAAAAGTCCATTTTTTCTTGTCCACTAAGGTGAAAATACACATTGTTGAGTGCTACGCCTGTATGTTTTGTCGTATTGACACAAAATTTTACATACACGTGTATTTCAATAAGATCTTCGAAAAAGTCAATGGCCACGTATCTGTAAAATGTACGGTTAAAGGGTTATTTCGCATTTTTTGCAGATTCGCACACATTGGAATTTCGCTAACTCCTCCGAAGGCTTTCGTTCCACCGGCACCACATTTGCTCAGGCCAATCTACACCCCATGGCCATTAAAAGTTATTCAAATCATGACGCTGCACCCCACGGTTTAGGTTCTAGGGGGCGCCAAAGATAACCCTAAAATCCACATATTTAAAAGTCTTATAACTTTTTATTTTTGTCCTCACTGGCCTCCATGTTTTCTAGGATGATGCAATGTCCAGCCATCAACACATTTGTGAAGGAGTTTTTTCTCTTTAAAAGAGCGCCCCCCATGGCAGGAGAATAAAGTCAAGTTTTTCCTGTTCATCATTCAATGGCTCAAACGCACTGCTCTCTCGGCAAAAGCGAAAGGAGGAGCAACTTGCCATTTGGATATATCTTAGCTGTGTTTGTGCCCTCACTCATGGTCCAGACTTTTTTCAAATAGGACATGGAGTTTTTCTGCAGCGAGCGTTTTGGTAGAAACTGCGCCTCCCGTTCATTATAATGGTAAATGACCACAAACAAGTGCGCACACCATCTTTGGACCTTGAGTGTGACGCGATCGGGTGGGGGAGGCGGTCGCGCTGGGGGCAGTGTGACACGGCTCGGGCCCGCCAGTGCCCCAACGGGGCCCTAGTTTCTTCTTTTTCCTCCCCTTTGAACTGGAAAATGGCCCACTTCCCACTGGCGAAAACTCATGAAATTTGGCAGGACGACCGGGCCTGGTGAAAAATTCGATATTCTGAAGTCGCCCAAACAATAAAATGCAAAATGGCTCCATAGCGCCCCCTAAGGTGGAAATTCACACTATTGACTGTCACGCCTGTACGCTTTGTCATATTGACACAAAAATTGACACACATATGTATCTCAATAAGATCTACAAAAAAGTCAGTGCGGCCGTATCTGTCAAAATTACGGTTAAAGGGTTATTTCGCATTTTTTGCCGATCCGCACACATTGGAATTTCGCTAACTCCTCCGAAGGCTTTCGTTCCACCGGCACCACATTTGCTCAGGCCAATCTACACCCTGTGGCCATTAAAAGTTATCAAAATCATGACGCTGCACCCCAAGGTTTAGGTTCTAGGGGGCGCCAAAGATAACACTAAAATCCACATATTTAAAAGTCTTATAACTTTTTATTTTTGTCCTCACTGGCCTCCAAGTTTTCTAGGATGATGCAATGTCCAGCCATCAACACATTTGTGTAGGAATTTTTACTCCCCAAAAGAGCGCCCCCCCATGGCAGGAGAAAAAAGTCCATTTTTTCTTGTCCCCTAAGGTGAAAATACACATTGTTGAGTGTCACGCCTATACGCTTTGTCAAAATGACACAAAAATTGACACACACATGTAACTCAATAAGATCTACAAAAAAGTCCATGCGCGCGTATCTGTCAAATGTACAGTTAAAGGGTTATTCCGCATTTTTTGCAGATACGCACACATTGGAATTTCGCTAACTCCTCCGAAGGCTTTCGTTCCACCGGCACCACATTTGCTCAGGCCAATCTACACCCCATGGCCATTAAAAGTTATTCAAATCATGACGCTGCACCCCACGGTTTAGGTTCTAGGGGGCGCCAAAGATAACCCTAAAATCCACATATTTAAAAGTTTTATAACTTTTTATTTTTGTCCTCACTGGCCTCCAAGTTTTCTAGGATGATGCAATGTCCAGCCATCAACACATTTGTGAAGGAATTTTTACTCCCCAAAAGAGCGCCCCCCATGGCAGGAGAAAAAAGTCCATTTTTTCTTGTCCCCTAAGGTGAAAATACATATTGTTGAGATTCACGCCTATACGCTTTGTCATATTGACACAAAATTTGACAATCACGTGCCTTGCCTGGTATCATTTTTTTCAGCACAACCTCACCTGTGCGAATTTACAGTTATTTTATCATGTTGACATACTGAATTTACACAATGGACCCAAATTCACACACAAAACATAAAATCCGAGTGGAAAAAAGTAACATTTTTACTGTGAAAACCACAAATATGTGTGATGAACTGTTTTTAAAACTTAAACTTCAAATAAAAATTGTAAACTTCAAAACATATGCAAATTTTTAACAAAGAACATAGTGATTTACCTCTATTTACATCAAAATGCAGGCAATGGCCCAGGCGTTCTTTGTAAAATTATTTACAAAACACTGTATAGTCTCACAAATGTCACTTTTTATTTATGCCACTACAAAAAAACATGATGTAAATGATGCATGATGTAAAACATGATGTAAAAAACTTGTGTAGATCCTCCTCTATGTCAGTCCATGTGTAATTTTTCCATAATTCTTTGTTTTTTGCAGCATTTTTGTTAGTGTAACTGCAGATTGTGCTGACAGTGTCTATGGCACAAAAAAAAAAAAATTAAAATGCCTCAACATGAACCCCTGGTGGTCTCTGAGGGTGAAACCTGCTAACTGCTGCAGCTCTGTCAGCTTCAGTCTCCCATGCAGAGCTCTGAGCGCATGTGTGGCTCTGCACCCTTAGCAGCGTTGCTAACTCCTCAGTAAGGAAAGCCTGCTTCATGTCAGAGTCTCTAAACTCCAGAAGAAGTCGATAAAAGTCCCTTTCTTTCTAAAAAAAAAGTCGTTAGGGGGTCTGAAAAGTCATTGAATCTAACAACAAAGTCGCTAGGTTTGCAACTACGTGTCCCAGACTGCATCCCTGCTGAGAGTCCCTCCCTCGCTTCTCATGTTGCAGGAAGAACGTAAGCACCCGCCCCTTGTCAATCAGTCACCATATAATTTTGGATTGGTTGTTGTGGTGAAGTTTTCCACCAATAGGAGAGATGTTGTGGTGTGTTTTTTTTTTCTTTTGGCAAGCCTTTTCCGCCTGTAAGACCTGTCGCTAATGTCTGCATGCTATGTTTTCCTGTCTCATACAGCGCGATCGAGCGCCGAACGTGATCAAAATAAGCAGAAAAAAAGTATCGCGGACATAATTTATCATAACTCTGGTTTTATTTGGCCTATCAACACAATTTAAAAACTGGTATATAGGTTGAGGTCCTCACTTTTGAGATAAGTTGAAACGGAGAGTCAACGAGGCTCCGTCTTGCAGCTACATCCGGTTAAATATGTCATGTGACTTGAACGCACACACACACACGCACACACACACACACACACACACACACTCAGAGTCTGGTTTTTAGCACCTGCAAAAACATGCTATTTACATATTTGACAAGAATGCAGAGGCTCCTTTTGCCCCTGAAAAAAATCAAATTTCAAACACAACTTGACTGCTCAATTCTCCAAAAGACAACCATGAAGCTCCATCCAAACCTGAAGCAGGCAGTTGGTGCATGTGTACAGTAACCTGAGGGGAGTGAGGTGAGTGCTTCTGAGGAGAACATGAGCAGTGAAGATTCACCTTGGAGCTAGAACAGAGACATGCACATGATTATACAGGGGCAGGGGCTCAAGTTTTTTCCAGTCGTTTATACAATATGGAAATTAATGTGAAATTAAAACACAAAGTATTAATAGAAAGGTTATGACTGTCCTGTGTAGGTGACAGTGATATCCAATAGGCTAGGCACTCACGAGGCTGGCTGTGGCAAGTGTAAGTGAAAGCAACACGCACTGGCAAGAAGAACAGCAAACGCCGATGAAGGAAAAGGGTCTTTGCAGTGATGGGCGTTACCAGAGAGGGCGATGGCCAGAGGACACAAATGGGACGGGGAGGCAGCACGTTGGGGGGGGACGCGACACGGCTCGGGCCCGCCAGTGCCCCAATGGGGTCCTAGTTATTATTTTTCCTCCCCTTTGAACTGGAAAATGGCCCACTTCCCACTGGCGAAAACTCATGAAATTTGGCAGGACGACCGGGCCTGGTGAAAAATTTGATATTCCGAAGTCGCCCAAACAAGAAAATGCAAAATGGCTCCATAGCGCCCCCTAAGGTGAAAAATTCACCTGACGCCTGTACGCTTTGTCAAAATGACACAAAAATTGACACACACATGTATCTCAATAAGATCTACAAAAAAGTCAGTGCGGGCGTATCTGTCAAATGTACGGTTAAAGGGTTATTTCGCATTTTTTGCCGATCCGCACACATTGGAATTTCGCTAACTCCTCCGAAGGCTTTCGTTCCACCGGCACCACATTTGCTCAGGCCAATCTACACCCCATGGCCATTAAAAGTTATTCAAATCATGACGCTGCACCCCACGGTTTAGGTTCTAGGGGGCGCCAAAGATAACCCTAAGATCCACATATTTAAAAGTCTTATAACTTTTTATTTTTGCCCTCACTGGCCTCCAAGTTTTCTTAGGATGATGCAATGTCCAGCCATCAACACATTTGTGAAGGAATTTTTACTCCCCAAAAGAGCGCCCCCCCATGGCAGGAGAAAAAAGTCCATTTTTTCTTGTCCCCTAAGGTGAAAATACACATTGTTGAGTGTAACACCTGTACGCTTTGGCAAAATGACACAAAAATTGACACACACATGTATCTCAATAAGATCTACGAAAAAGTCAATGCGCGCGTATCTGTCAAATGTACGGTTAAAGGGTTATTCCGCATTTTTTGCCGATCCGCACACATTGGAATTTCGCTAACTCCTCCGAAGGCTTTCATTCCACCGGTACCACATTTGCTCAGGCCAATCTACACCCCATGGCCATTAAAAGTTATTCAAATCATGACGCTGCATCCCACGGTTTAGGTTCTAGGGGGCGCCAAAGATAACCCTAAAATCCACATATTTAAAAGTCTTATAACTTTTTATTTTTGTCCTCACTGGCCTCCAAGTTTTCTAGGATGATGCAATGTCCAGCCATCAACACATTTGTGAAGGAATTTTTACTCCCCAAAAGAGCGCCCCCCCATGGCAGGAAAAAAAAGCCAATTTTTTCTTGTCCCCTAAGGTGGAAATTCACACTATTGACTGTCACGCCTGTACGCTTTATCATATTGACACAAAAATTGACACACATATGTATCTCAATAAGATCTACAAAAGAGTCGATTCGCGCGTATCTGTCAAATGTACGGTTAAAGGGCTATTTTGCATTTTTTGCCGATTCGCACACATTGGAATGTGGCTAACTCCTCCTAAGGCTTTCGTCCCACTGACACCAAATTTGCTCAGGGCAATCTACACCCCATGGCCATTCAAAGTTGTAAAAATCATGACGCTGCACCCCACGGTTTACGTTCTAGGGGGCGCCAAAGATGACCCAAAAATCCACATTCTTCAAAGAATCCACATCCCCCCCCCCTTATGGCAGGAGAAAAAGTTAAGTTTTTCCTGCCCATCGCTCAATGGCTCAATCGCATCGCTCTCCAGGCAACACCGTAAGGAGGAGCAACCTGCCATTTCGATATATCATAGCTGTGTTTGTGCCCTCACTCATGGTCCAGACTTTTTTCAAATAGGACATGAAGTTTGTCTGCAGCGAGTGTTTTGGTAGAAACTGCGCCTCCCATTCATTATAATAGGAAATGACCACAGACAAGTGCGCACACCATCTTTGGATCTTGAGTGTGACGCGATCGGGAGGGGGAGGCGGTCGCACTGGGGGCGGCGCGACACGGCTCGGGCCCGACAGTGCCCCAACGGGGTCCTAGTTCTTTCTTTCTTAGGGCCCGAGCGTAGCTGCTAAGCAGCTGCGAGAGCCCTATTATTCCTGATGGATTCTTCTTAGGGCCCGAGCGTAGCTGCTAAGCAGCTGCGAGAGCCCTCTTGTTCCTGTAGTTTCCTTCTTTTGTTATTAGGGCCCGAGCGTAGCTGCTAAGCAGCTGCGAGAGCCCTCTTGTTCCTGTAGTTTCCTTCTTTTTAGGGCCCGAGCGTAGCTGCTAAGCAGCTGCGAGAGCCCTCTTGTTCCTGTAGTTTCCTTCTTTTGTTATTATTATTATTATTATTATTTTTCCTCCCCTTTGAACTGGAAAATGGCCCACTTCCCACTGGCGAAAACTCATGAAATTTGGCAGGACGACCGGGCCTGGTGAAAAATTTGATATTCCGAAGTCGCCCAAACAAGAAAATGCAAAATGGCTCCATAGCGCCCCCTAAGGTGAAAATTCACACTATTCACTGTCACGCCTGTACGCTTTGTCAAAATGACACAAAAATTGACACACACATGTATCTCAATAAGATCTACAAAAAAGTCAGTGCGGGCGTATCTGTCAAATGTACGGTTAAAGGGTTATTTCGCATTTTTTGCCGATCCGCACACATTGGAATTTCGCTAACTCCTCCGAAGGCTTTCGTTCCACCGGCACCACATTTGCTCAGGCCAATCTACACCCCATGGCCATTAAAAGTTATTCAAATCATGACGCTGCACCCCACGGTTTAGGTTCTAGGGGGCGCCAAAGATAACCCTAAGATCCACATATTTAAAAGTCTTATAACTTTTTATTTTTGCCCTCACTGGCCTCCAAGTTTTCTAGGATGATGCAATGTCCAGCCATCAACACATTTGTGAAGGAATTTTTACTCCCCAAAAGAGCGCCCCCCCATGGCAGGAGAAAAAAGTCCATTTTTTCTTGTCCCCTAAGGTGAAAATACACATTGTTGAGTGTAACACCTGTACGCTTTGGCAAAATGACACAAAAATTGACACACATATGTATCTCAATAAGATCTACAAAAAAGTCAATGCGCGCGTATCTGTCAAATGTACGGTTAAAGGGCTATTTTGCATTTTTTGCCGATTCGCACACATTGGAATGTGGCTAACTCCTCCTAAGGCTTTCGTCCCACTGACACCAAATTTGCTCAGGCCAATCTACACCCCATGGCCATTCAAAGTTGTAAAAATCATGACGCTGCACCCCACGGTTTACGTTCTAGGGGGCGCCAAAGATGACCCAAATATCCACATTCTTAAAAGAATCCACATCCCCCCCATCCCCCACCCCCCATGGCAGGAGAAACAGTCAAGTTTTTCCTGCCCATCACTCAATGGCTCAATCGCATCGCTCTCCCGGCAACACCGTAACAAGGAGCAACTTGCCGTTTGGATAAATCCTAGCTGTGTTTGTGCCCTCACTCATGGTCCAGACTTTTTTCAAATAGGACATGTAGTTTGTCTGCAGCGAGTGTTTTGGTAGAAACTGCGCCTCCCATTCATTATAATGGGAAATGACCACAGACAAGTGCGCACACCATCTTTGGACCTTGAGTGTGACGCGATCGGGAGGGGGAGGCGGTCGCGCTAGGGGCGGCGCGACGCGGCTCGGGCCCGACAGTGCCCCACCGGGGCCCTAGTTTCTTCTTCTTCTTCTTATTATTTTTCTGCCCCTTTGAACTGGAAAATGGCCCACTTCCCACTGGTGAAAAGTCATGAAATTTGGCAGGACGACCGGGCCTGGTGAAAAATTCGATATTCTGAAGTCGCCCAAAAAATCAAATGCAAAATGGCTCCATAGCGCCCCCTAAGGTGAAAAATTCACATGATTGAGTGTCACGCCTGTACGCTTTGTCAAAATGACACAAAATTTGACACACACGTGTATCTCAATAAGATCTACAAAAAAGTCAGTGCGGGCGTATCTGTCAAATGTACGGTTAAAGGGCTATTTCGCATTTTTTGCCGATCCGCACACATTGGAATTTCGCTAACTCCTCCGAAGGCTTTCGTTCCACCGGCACCAAATTTGCTCAGGCCAATCTACACCCCATGGCCATTAAAAGTTGTACAAATCATGACGCTGCATCCCACGGTTTACGTTCTAGGGGGCGCCAAAGATAACCCAGAAATCCACATTCTTAAAAGTCGTATAACTTTTTATTTTTGTCCTCACTGGCCTCCAAGTTTTCTAGGATGATGCAATGTCCAGCCATCAACACATTTGTGAAGGAATTTTTACTCCCCAAAAGAGCGCCCCCCCATGGCAGGAGAAAAAAGTCAATTTTTTCTTGTCTCCTAAGGCGAAAATTCACACTATTGACTGTCACGCCTTTACGCTTTGTCATATTGACACAAAAATTGACACACACATGTATCTCAATAAGATCTACAAAAAAGTCAGTGCGGGCGTATCTGTCAAATGTACGGTGAAAGGGTTATTTCGCATTTTTTGCCGATCCGCACACATTGGAATTTCGCTAACTCCTCCGAAGGCTTTCGTTCCAAAGGCACCACATTTGCTGAGGCCAATCTACACCCCATGGCCATTAAAAGTTGTACAAATCATGACGCTGCACCCCACGGTTTACGTTCTAGGGGGCGCCAAAGAGGACCCAAATATCCACATTTTTAAAAGTCTTATAACTTTTTATTTTTGTCCTCACTGGCCTCCAAGTTTTCTAGGATGATGCAATGTCCAGCCATCAACACATTTGTGAAGGAATTTTTACTCCCCAAAAGAGCGCCCCCCCATGGCAGGAGAAAAAAGTCCATTTTTTCTTGTCTCCTAAGGCGAAAATACACATTGTTGACTGTCACGCCTTTACGCTTTGTCAAAATGACACAAAATTTGACACACACATGTATCTCAATAAGATCTACAAAAAAGTCAGTGCGGGCGTATCTGTCAAATGTACGGTTAAAGGGTTATTTCGCATTTTTTGCCGATCCGCACACATTGGAATTTCGCTAACTCCTCCTAAATCTTTTGTCCCATCGGCTTCAAATTTGCTCAGGTCAATCTACACCCCATGGCCATTCAAAGTTGTACAAATCATGACGCTGCACCCCACAGTTTACGTTCTAGGGGGCGCCAAAGAGGACCCAAATATCCACATTTTTAAAAGTCTTATAACTTTTTATTTTTGTCCTCACTGGCCTCCAAGTTTTCTAGGATGATGCAATGTCCAGCCATCAACACATTTGTGAAGGAATTTTTTCTCCCCAAAAGAGCGCCCCCCCATGGCAGGAGAAAAAGTCAAGTTTTTCCTGCCCATCGCTCAATGGCTCAAACGCATCGCTCTCTCTGCAAAACCGAAAGGAGGAGCAACTTGCCATTTGGATATATACTAGCTGTGTTTGTGCCCTCACTCATGGTCCAGACTTTTTTCAAATAGGACATGTAGTTTGTCTGCAGCGAGCGTTTTGGTAGAAACTGCGCCTCCCATTCATTATAATGGGAAATGACCACAGACAAGTGCGCACACCATCTTTGGACCTTGAGTGTGAGGCTATTTTGCATTTTTTGCCGATTCGCACACATTGGAATGTGGCTAACTCCTCCTAAGGCTTTCGTCCCACTGACACCAAATTTGCTCAGGCCAATCTACACCCCATGGCCATTCAAAGTTGTAAAAATCATGACGCTGCACCCCATGGTTTACGTTCTAGGGGGCGCCAAAGATGACCGAAAAATCCACATTCTTAAAGGAATCCACATCCCCCCCCCCCCCCCAAGGCAGGAGAAAAAGTCAAGTTAACCCTGCCCATCGCTCAATGGCTCAATCGCATCGCTCTCCAGGCAACACCGTAAGGAGGAGCAACCTGCCATTTCGATATATCATAGCTGTGTTTGTGCCCTCACTCATGGTCCAGACTTTTTTCAAATAGGACATGAAGTTTGTCTGCAGCGAGTGTTTTGGTAGAAACTGCGCCTCCCATTCATTATAATGGGAAATGACCACAGACAAGTGCGCACACCATCTTTGGACCTTGAGTGTGACGCGATCGGGAGGGGGAGGCGGTCGCGCTGGGGGCGGCGCGACGCGGCTCGGGCCCGACAGTGCCCCACCGGGGCCCTAGTTCTTCTTCTTCTTTTTCTTATTATTTTTCTGCCCCTTTGAACTGGAAAATGGCCCACTTCCCACTGGTGAAAAGTCATGAAATTTGGCAGGACGACCGGGCCTGGTGAAAAATTCGATATTCTGAAGTCGCCCAAAAATCAAATGCAAAATGGCTCCATAGCGCCCCCTAAGGTGAAAAATTCACATGATTGAGTGTCACGCCTGTACGCTTTGTCAAAATGACACAAAATTTGACACACACGTGTATCTCAATAAGATCTACAAAAAAGTCAGTGCGGGCGTATCTGTCAAATGTACGGTTAAAGGGCTATTTCGCATTTTTTGCCGATCCGCACACATTGGAATTTCGCTAACTCCTCCGAAGGCTTTCGTTCCACCGGCACCAAATTTGCTCAGGCCAATCTACACCCCATGGCCATTAAAAGTTGTACAAATCATGACGCTGCATCCCACGGTTTACGTTCTAGGGGGCGCCAAAGATAACCCAGAAATCCACATTCTTAAAAGTCGTATAACTTTTTATTTTTGTCCTCACTGGCCTCCAAGTTTTCTAGGATGATGCAATGTCCAGCCATCAACACATTTGTGAAGGAATTTTTACTCCCCAAAAGAGCGCCCCCCCATGGCAGGAGAAAAAAGTCCATTTTTTCTTGTCTCCTAAGGCGAAAATTCACACTATTGACTGTCACGCCTTTACGCTTTGTCATATTGACACAAAAATTGACACACACATGTATCTCAATAAGATCTACAAAAAAGTCAGTGCGGGCGTATCTGTCAAATGTACGGTGAAAGGGCTATTTCGCATTTTTTGCCGATCCGCACACATTGGAATTTCGCTAACTCCTCCGAAGGCTTTCGTTCCAAAGGCACCACATTCTCTGAGGCCAATCTACACCCCATGGCCATTAAAAGTTGTACAAATCATGACGCTGCACCCCACGGTTTACGTTCTAGGGGGCGCCAAAGATAACCCAAAAATCCACAGTCTTAAAAGTCTTATAACTTTTTATTTTTGTCCTCACTGGCCTCCAAGTTCTCTAGGATGATGCAATGTCCAGCCATCAACACATTTGTGAAGGAATTTTTACTCGCCAAAAGAGCGCCCCCCATGGCAGGAGAAAAAAGTCCATTTTTTCTTGTCTCCTAAGGCGAAAATACACATTGTTGACTGTCACGTCTTTACGCTTTGTCAAAATGACACAAAATTTGACACACACATGTATCTCAATAAGATCTACAAAAAAGTCAGTGCGGGCGTATCTGTCAAATGTACGGTTAAAGGGTTATTTCGCATTTTTTGCCGATCCGCACACATTGGAATTTCGCTAACTCCTCCTAAATCTTTTGTCCCATCGGCTTCAAATTTGCTCAGGTCAATCTACACCCCATGGCCATTCAAAGTTGTACAAATCATGACGCTGCACCCCACAGTTTACGTTCTAGGGGGCGCCAAAGAGGACCCAAATATCCACATTTTTAAAAGTCTTATAACTTTTTATTTTTGTCCTCACTGGCCTCCAAGTTTTCTAGGATGATGCAATGTCCAGCCATCAACACATTTGTGAAGGAATTTTTTCTCCCCAAAAGAGCGCCCCCCCATGGCAGGAGAAAAAGTCAAGTTTTTCCTGCCCATCGCTCAATGGCTCAAACGCATCGCTCTCTCTGCAAAACCGAAAGGAGGAGCAACTTGCCATTTGGATATATACTAGCTGTGTTTGTGCCCTCACTCATGGTCCAGACTTTTTTCAAATAGGACATGTAGTTTGTCTGCAGCGAGCGTTTTGGTAGAAACTGCGCCTCCCATTCATTATAATGGGAAATGACCACAGACAAGTGCGCACACCATCTTTGGACCTTGAGTGTGACGCGATCGGGAGGGGGAGGCGGTCGCGCTGGGGGCGGCGCGACGCGGCTCGGGCCCGACAGTGCCCCACCGGGGCCCTAGTGTTATTATTATTATTATTATTTTTCCTCCCCTTTGAACTGGAAAATGGCCCACTTCCCACTGGCGAAAACTCATGAAATTTGGCAGGACGACCGGGCCTGGTGAAAAATTTGATATTCCGAAGTCGCCCAAACAAGAAAATGCAAAATGGCTCCATAGCGCCCCCTAAGGTGAAAATTCACACTATTCACTGTCACGCCGGTACGCTTTGTCAAAATGACACAAAAATTGACACACACATGTATCTCAATAAGATCTACAAAAAAGTCAGTGCGGGCGTATCTGTCAAATGTACGGTTAAAGGGTTATTTCGCATTTTTTGCCGATCCGCACACATTGGAATTTCGCTAACTCCTCCGAAGGCTTTCGTTCCACCGGCACCACATTTGCTCAGGCCAATCTACACCCCATGGCCATTAAAAGTTATTCAAATCATGACGCTGCACCCCACGGTTTAGGTTCTAGGGGGCGCCAAAGATAACCCTAAGATCCACATATTTAAAAGTCTTATAACTTTTTATTTTTGCCCTCACTGGCCTCCAAGTTTTCTAGGATGATGCAATGTCCAGCCATCAACACATTTGTGAAGGAATTTTTACTCCCCAAAAGAGCGCCCCCCCATGGCAGGAGAAAAAAGTCCATTTTTTCTTGTCCCCTAAGGTGAAAATACACATTGTTGAGTGTAACACCTGTACGCTTTGGCAAAATGACACAAAAATTGACACACACATGTATCTCAATAAGATCTACGAAAAAGTCAATGCGCGCGTATCTGTCAAATGTACGGTTAAAGGGTTATTCCGCATTTTTTGCCGATCCGCACACATTGGAATTTCGCTAACTCCTCCGAAGGCTTTCGTTCCACCGGCACCACATTTGCTCAGGCCAATCTACACCCCATGGCCATTAAAAGTTATTCAAATCATGACGCTGCACCCCACGGTTTAGGTTCTAGGGGGCGCCAAAGATAACTGTAAAATCCACATATTTAAAAGTCTTATAACTTTTTATTTTTGTCCCCACTGGCCTCCAAGTTTTCTAGGATGATGCAATGTCCAGCCATCAACACATTTGTGAAGGAATTTTTACTCGCCAAAAGAGCGCCCCCCATGGCAGGAGAAAAAAGTCCATTTTTTCTTGTCCACTAAGGTGAAAATACACATTGTTGAGTGCTACGCCTGTATGTTTTGTCGTATTGACACAAAATTTTACATACACGTGTATTTCAATAAGATCTTCGAAAAAGTCAATGGCCACGTATCTGTAAAATGTACGGTTAAAGGGTTATTTCGCATTTTTTGCAGATTCGCACACATTGGAATTTCGCTAACTCCTCCGAAGGCTTTCGTTCCACCGGCACCACATTTGCTCAGGCCAATCTACACCCCATGGCCATTAAAAGTTATTCAAATCATGACGCTGCACCCCACGGTTTAGGTTCTAGGGGGCGCCAAAGATAACCCTAAAATCCACATATTTAAAAGTCTTATAACTTTTTATTTTTGTCCTCACTGGCCTCCATGTTTTCTAGGATGATGCAATGTCCAGCCATCAACACATTTGTGAAGGAGTTTTTTCTCTTTAAAAGAGCGCCCCCCATGGCAGGAGAATAAAGTCAAGTTTTTCCTGTTCATCATTCAATGGCTCAAACGCACTGCTCTCTCGGCAAAAGCGAAAGGAGGAGCAACTTGCCATTTGGATATATCTTAGCTGTGTTTGTGCCCTCACTCATGGTCCAGACTTTTTTCAAATAGGACATGGAGTTTTTCTGCAGCGAGCGTTTTGGTAGAAACTGCGCCTCCCGTTCATTATAATGGTAAATGACCACAAACAAGTGCGCACACCATCTTTGGACCTTGAGTGTGACGCGATCGGGTGGGGGAGGCGGTCGCGCTGGGGGCAGTGTGACACGGCTCGGGCCCGCCAGTGCCCCAACGGGGCCCTAGTTTCTTCTTTTTCCTCCCCTTTGAACTGGAAAATGGCCCACTTCCCACTGGCGAAAACTCATGAAATTTGGCAGGACGACCGGGCCTGGTGAAAAATTCGATATTCTGAAGTCGCCCAAACAATAAAATGCAAAATGGCTCCATAGCGCCCCCTAAGGTGGAAATTCACACTATTGACTGTCACGCCTGTACGCTTTGTCATATTGACACAAAAATTGACACACATATGTATCTCAATAAGATCTACAAAAAAGTCAGTGCGGCCGTATCTGTCAAAATTACGGTTAAAGGGTTATTTCGCATTTTTTGCCGATCCGCACACATTGGAATTTCGCTAACTCCTCCGAAGGCTTTCGTTCCACCGGCACCACATTTGCTCAGGCCAATCTACACCCTGTGGCCATTAAAAGTTATCAAAATCATGACGCTGCACCCCAAGGTTTAGGTTCTAGGGGGCGCCAAAGATAACACTAAAATCCACATATTTAAAAGTCTTATAACTTTTTATTTTTGTCCTCACTGGCCTCCAAGTTTTCTAGGATGATGCAATGTCCAGCCATCAACACATTTGTGTAGGAATTTTTACTCCCCAAAAGAGCGCCCCCCCATGGCAGGAGAAAAAAGTCCATTTTTTCTTGTCCCCTAAGGTGAAAATACACATTGTTGAGTGTCACGCCTATACGCTTTGTCAAAATGACACAAAAATTGACACACACATGTAACTCAATAAGATCTACAAAAAAGTCCATGCGCGCGTATCTGTCAAATGTACAGTTAAAGGGTTATTCCGCATTTTTTGCAGATACGCACACATTGGAATTTCGCTAACTCCTCCGAAGGCTTTCGTTCCACCGGCACCACATTTGCTCAGGCCAATCTACACCCCATGGCCATTAAAAGTTATTCAAATCATGACGCTGCACCCCACGGTTTAGGTTCTAGGGGGCGCCAAAGATAACCCTAAAATCCACATATTTAAAAGTTTTATAACTTTTTATTTTTGTCCTCACTGGCCTCCAAGTTTTCTAGGATGATGCAATGTCCAGCCATCAACACATTTGTGAAGGAATTTTTACTCCCCAAAAGAGCGCCCCCCCATGGCAGGAGAAAAAAGTCCATTTTTTCTTGTCCCCTAAGGTGAAAATACATATTGTTGAGATTCACGCCTATACGCTTTGTCATATTGACACAAAATTTGACAATCACGTGCCTTGCCTGGTATCATTTTTTTCAGCACAACCTCACCTGTGCGAATTTACAGTTATTTTATCATGTTGACATACTGAATTTACACAATGGACCCAAATTCACACACAAAACATAAAATCCGAGTGGAAAAAAGTAACATTTTTACTGTGAAAACCACAAATATGTGTGATGAACTGTTTTTAAAACTTAAACTTCAAATAAAAATTGTAAACTTCAAAACATATGCAAATTTTTAACAAAGAACATAGTGATTTACCTCTATTTACATCAAAATGCAGGCAATGGCCCAGGCGTTCTTTGTAAAATTATTTACAAAACACTGTATAGTCTCACAAATGTCACTTTTTATTTATGCCACTACAAAAAAACATGATGTAAATGATGCATGATGTAAAACATGATGTAAAAAACTTGTGTAGATCCTCCTCTATGTCAGTCCATGTGTAATTTTTCCATAATTCTTTGTTTTTTGCAGCATTTTTGTTAGTGTAACTGCAGATTGTGCTGACAGTGTCTATGGCACAAAAAAAAAAAATTAAAATGCCTCAACATGAACCCCTGGTGGTCTCTGAGGGTGAAACCTGCTAACTGCTGCAGCTCTGTCAGCTTCAGTCTCCCATGCAGAGCTCTGAGCGCATGTGTGGCTCTGCACCCTTAGCAGCGTTGCTAACTCCTCAGTAAGGAAAGCCTGCTTCATGTCAGAGTCTCTAAACTCCAGAAGAAGTCGATAAAAGTCCCTTTCTTTCTAAAAAAAAAGTCGTTAGGGGGTCTGAAAAGTCATTGAATCTAACAACAAAGTCGCTAGGTTTGCAACTACGTGTCCCAGACTGCATCCCTGCTGAGAGTCCCTCCCTCGCTTCTCATGTTGCAGGAAGAACGTAAGCACCCGCCCCTTGTCAATCAGTCACCATATAATTTTGGATTGGTTGTTGTGGTGAAGTTTTCCACCAATAGGAGAGATGTTGTGGTGTGTTTTTTTTTTCTTTTGGCAAGCCTTTTCCGCCTGTAAGACCTGTCGCTAATGTCTGCATGCTATGTTTTCCTGTCTCATACAGCGCGATCGAGCGCCGAACGTGATCAAAATAAGCAGAAAAAAAGTATCGCGGACATAATTTATCATAACTCTGGTTTTATTTGGCCTATCAACACAATTTAAAAACTGGTATATAGGTTGAGGTCCTCACTTTTGAGATAAGTTGAAACGGAGAGTCAACGAGGCTCCGTCTTGCAGCTACATCCGGTTAAATATGTCATGTGACTTGAACGCACACACACACACGCACACACACACACACACACACACACACTCAGAGTCTGGTTTTTAGCACCTGCAAAAACATGCTATTTACATATTTGACAAGAATGCAGAGGCTCCTTTTGCCCCTGAAAAAAATCAAATTTCAAACACAACTTGACTGCTCAATTCTCCAAAAGACAACCATGAAGCTCCATCCAAACCTGAAGCAGGCAGTTGGTGCATGTGTACAGTAACCTGAGGGGAGTGAGGTGAGTGCTTCTGAGGAGAACATGAGCAGTGAAGATTCACCTTGGAGCTAGAACAGAGACATGCACATGATTATACAGGGGCAGGGGCTCAAGTTTTTTCCAGTCGTTTATACAATATGGAAATTAATGTGAAATTAAAACACAAAGTATTAATAGAAAGGTTATGACTGTCCTGTGTAGGTGACAGTGATATCCAATAGGCTAGGCACTCACGAGGCTGGCTGTGGCAAGTGTAAGTGAAAGCAACACGCACTGGCAAGAAGAACAGCAAACGCCGATGAAGGAAAAGGGTCTTTGCAGTGATGGGCGTTACCAGAGAGGGCGATGGCCAGAGGACACAAATGGGACGGGGAGGCAGCACGTTGGGGGGGGGACGCGACACGGCTCGGGCCCGCCAGTGCCCCAACGGGGTCCTAGTTAGGGCCCGAGCGTAGCTGCTAAGCAGCTGCGAGAGCCCTATTATTCCCCAAGTGGTTTTTCTTTGTTTCTTTAGGGCCCGAGCGTAGCTGCTAAGCAGCTGCGAGAGCCCTCTTGTTCCTGTAGTTTCCTTCTTTAGGGCCCGAGCGTAGCTGCTAAGCAGCTGCGAGAGCCCTCTTGTTCCTGTAGTTTCCTTCTTTTGTTATTATTATTATTATTTTTCCTCCCCTTTGAACTGGAAAATGGCCCACTTCCCACTGGCGAAAACTCATGAAATTTGGCAGGACGACCGGGCCTGGTGAAAAATTTGATATTCCGAAGTCGCCCAAACAAGAAAATGCAAAATGGCTCCATAGCGCCCCCTAAGGTGAAAATTCACACTATTCACTGTCACGCCGGTACGCTTTGTCAAAATGACACAAAAATTGACACACACATGTATCTCAATAAGATCTACAAAAAAGTCAGTGCGGGCGTATCTGTCAAATGTACGGTTAAAGGGTTATTTCGCATTTTTTGCCGATCCGCACACATTGGAATTTCGCTAACTCCTCCGAAGGCTTTCGTTCCACCGGCACCACATTTGCTCAGGCCAATCTACACCCCATGGCCATTAAAAGTTATTCAAATCATGACGCTGCACCCCACGGTTTAGGTTCTAGGGGGAGCCAAAGATAACCGTAAAATCCACATATTTAAAAGTCTTATAACTTTTTATTTTTGTCCCCACTGGCCTCCAAGTTTTCTAGGATGATGCAATGTCCAGCCATCAACACATTTGTGAAGGAATTTTTACTCGGCAAAAGAGCGCCCCCCCATGGCAGGAGAAAAAAGTCAATTTTTTCTTGTCCACTAAGGTGAAAAAACACATTGTTGAGTGCTACGCCTGTATGTTTTGTCGTATTGACACAAAATTTTACATACACGTGTATTTCAATAAGATCTTCGAAAAAGTCAATGGCCACGTATCTGTAAAATGTACGGTTAAAGGGTTATTTCGCATTTTTTGCAGATTCGCACACATTGGAATTTCGCTAATTCCTCCGAAGGCTTTCGTTCCACCGGCACCACATTTGCTCAGGCCAATCTACACCCCATGGCCATTAAAAGTTATTCAAATCATGACGCTGCACCCCACGGTTTAGGTTCTAGGGCGCGCCAAATATAACCCTAAAATCCACATATTTAAAAGTCTTATAACTTTTTATTTTTGTCCTCACTGGCCTCCATGTTTTCTAGGATGATGCAATGTCCAGCCATCAACACATTTGTGAAGGAGTTTTTTCTCTTTAAAAGAGCGCCCCCCATGGCAGGAGAATAAAGTCAAGTTTTTCCTGTTCATCATTCAATGGCTCAAACGCACTGCTCTCTCGGCAAAAGCGAAAGGAGGAGCAACTTGCCATTTGGATATATCTTAGCTGTGTTTGTGCCCTCACTCATGGTCCAGACTTTTTTCAAATAGGACATGGAGTTTTTCTGCAGCGAGCGTTTTGGTAGAAACTGCGCCTCCCGTTCATTATAATGGTAAATGACCACAAACAAGTGCGCACACCATCTTTGGACCTTGAGTGTGACGCGATCGGGTGGGGGAGGCGGTCGCGCTGGGGGCGGCGTGACACGGCTCGGGCCCGCCAGTGCCCCAACGGGGCCCTAGTTTGTTATTATTATTTTTCCTCCCCTTTGAACTGGAAAATGGCCCACTTCCCACTGGCGAAAACTCATGAAATTTGGCAGGACGACCGGGCCTGGTGAAAAATTTGATATTCTGAAGTCGCCCAAACAAGAAAATGCAAAATGGCTCCATAGCGCCCCCTAAGGTGAAAATTCACACTATTGACTGTCACGCCTGTACGCTTTGTCAAAATGACACAAAAATTGACACACACATGTATCTCAATAAGATCTACAAAAAAGTCAGTGCGGGCGTATCTGTCAAATGTACGGTTAAAGGGTTATTTCGCATTTTTTGCCGATCCGCACACATTGGAATTTCGCTAACTCCTCCGAAGGCTTTCGTTCCACCGGCACCACATTTGCTCAGGCCAATCTACACCCCATGGCCATTAAAAGTTATTCAAATCATGACGCTGCACCCCACGGTTTAGGTTCTAGGGGGCGCCAAAGACAACCCTAAAATCCACATATTTAAAAGTCTTATAACTTTTTATTTTTGCCCTCACAGGCCTCCAAGTTTTCTAGGATGATGCAATGTCCAGCCATCAACACATTTGTGAAGGAATTTTTACTCCCCAAAAGAGCGCCCCCCCATGGCAGGAGAAAAAAGTCAATTTTTTCTTGTCCCCTAAGGTGAAAATTCACACTATTGACTGTCACGCCTGTACGCTTTGTCAAAATGACACAAAAATTGACACACACATGTATCTCAATAAGATCTACAAAAAAGTCCATGCGCGCGTATCTGTCTAATGTACGGTTAAAGGGTTATTTCGCATTTTTTGCCGATCCGCACACATTGGAATTTCGCTAACTCCTCCGAAGGCTTTCGTTCCACCGGCACCACATTTGCTCAGGCCAATCTACACCCCATGGCCATTAAAAGTTATTCAAATCATGACGCTGCACCCCACGGTTTACGTTCTAGGGGGCGCCAAAGATAACCCAAAAATCCACATTTTTAAAAGTCATAACTTTTTATTTTTGTCCTCACTGGCCTCCAAGTTTTCTAGGATGATGCAATGTCCAGCCATCAACACATTTGTGAAGGAATTTTTACTCCCTAAAAGAGCGCCCCCCATGGCAGGAGAAAAAAGTCCATTTTTTCTTGTCCCCTAAGGTGAAAATACACATTGTTGACTGTCACGCCTGTACGCTTTGGCAAAATGACACAAAAATTGACAATCATGTGTATCTCAATTAGATCTACGAAAAAGTCAAAGAGCGCGTATCTGTATAATGTACGGTAAAAGGGCTATTTTGCATTTTTTGCCGATTCGCACACATTGGAATTTCGCTAACTCCTCCTAAGGCTTTCGTCCCACTGACACCAAATTTGCTCAGGCCAATCTACACTCCATGGCCATTCAAAGTTGTAAAAATCATGACGCTGCACCCCACGGTTTACGTTTTAGGGGGCGCCAAAGATGACCCAAATATACATTACAGTAGACAAAGTAGTTTTGCCCACTGAGTGGCGCCAAAGGGACTTGTCTGTGGAGTCTGTGAGTCACTATTGGCCGTTTTTGACTACTTTAGATTTTACCTTTATATTTCCTCTTACAAAATTTTTACCTTGCCTTGCCTGGTATCATTTTTTTCAGCACAACCTCACCTGTGTCAATTTACAGTTATTTTATCATTTTGACATACTATATTTACACATTGGACCCAAATTCACACACAAAACATAAAATCCGAGTGGAAAAAAGTAACGTTTTTACTGTGAAAACCACAAATATGTGTGATGAACTGTTTTTAAAACTTAAACTTCAAATAAAAATTGTAAACTTCAAAACATATGCAAATTTTTAACAAAGAACATAGTAATTTACCTCTATTTACATCAAAATGCAGGCAATGGCCCAGGTGTTCTTTGTAAAATTATTTACAAAACACTGTATAGTCTCACAAATGTCACTTTTTATTTATGCCACTACAAAAAAACATGATGTAAATGATGCATGATGTAAAACATGATGTAAAAAACTTGTGTAGATCCTCCTCTATGTTAGTCCACGTGTAATTTTTCCATAATTCTTTGTTTTTTGCAGCATTTTTGTTAGTGTAACTGCAGATTGTGCTGACAGTGTCTATGGCAAAAAAAAAAAAAAAAAACTGAAAATGCCTCAACATGAACCCCTGGTGGTCTCTGAGGGTGAAACCTGCTAACTGCTGCAGCTCTGTCAGCTTCAGTCTCCCATGCAGAGCTCGGAGCGCATGTGTGGCTCTGCACCCTTAGCAGCGTTGCTAACTCCTCAGTAAGGAAAGCCTGCTTCATGTCAGAGTCTCTAAACTCCAGAAGAAGTCGATAAAAGTCACTTTCTTTCTAAAAAAAGTCGTTAGGGGGTCTGAAAAGTCATTGAATCTAACAACAAAGTCGCTAGGTTTGCAACTACGTGTCCCAGACTGCATCCCTGCTGAGAGTCCCTCCCTCCCTTCTCATATTGCAGGAAGAACGTAAGTTCCCGCCCCTTGTCAATCAGTCACCATATAATTTTGGATTGGTTGTTGTGGTGAAGTTTTCCACCAATAGGAGAGATGTTGTGGTGTGTATTTTTTTTCCTTTGGCAAGCCTTTTCCGCCTGTAAGACCTGTCGCTAATGTCTGCATGCTATGTTTTCCTGTCTCATACAGCGCGATCGAGCGCCGAACGTGATCAAAATAAGCAGAAAACAAGTATCGCTGACATAATTTATCATAACTCTGGTTTTATTTGGCCTATCAACACAATTTAAAAACTGGTATATAGGTTGAGGTCCTCACTTTTGAGATAAATTGAAACGGAGAGTCAACGAGGCTCCGTCTTGCAGCTACATCCGGTTAAATATGTCATGTGACTTGAACGCACACACACACACACACACAGACACACACACACACGCACACACACACACTCAGAGTCTGGTTTGTAGCACCTGCAAAAACATGCTATTTACATATTTGACAAGAATGCAGAGGCTCCTTTTGCCCCTGAAAAAAATCAAATTTCAAACACAACTTGACTGGTCATTTCTCCAAAAGACAACCATGAAGCTCCATCCAAACCTGAAGCAGGCAGTTGGTGCATGTGTACAGTAACCTGAGGGGAGTGAGGTGACTGCTTCTGAGGAGAACATGAGCAGTGAAGATTTACCTTAGAGCTAGAACAGAGACGTGCACATGATTATACAGGGGCAGGGGCTCAAGTTTTTTCCAGTCGTTTATACAATTTGGAAATTAATGTGAAATTAAAACACAAAGTATTAATAGAAAGGTAATGACTGTCCTGTGTAGGTGACAGTGATATCCAATAGGCTAGGCACTCACGAGGCTGGCTGTGGCAAGTGTAAGTGAAAGCAACACGCACTGGCAGGAAGAACAGCAAACGCCGATGAAGGAAAAGGGTCTTTGCAGTGATGGGCGTTACCAAAGAGGGCGATGGCCAGAGGACACAAATGGGACGGGGAGGCAGCGCGTTAGGGGGGGACACGACACAGCTCGGGCCCGCCAGTGCCCCAACGGGGTCCTAGTTCTTTCTTTCTTTCTTCTTTTTCCTCCTCTTTGAACTGGAAAATGGCCCACTTCCCACTGGCGAAAACTCATGAAATTTGGCAGGATGACCGGGCCTGGTGAAAAATTTGATATTCCGAAGTCGCCTAAACAAGAAA